GAATTATCATGGTAGTATGAATAACGATCGAGTCTCCAGCTTTCGTAACATGCATCGTAAGTATTGCCATTAAGGTAAGGCTAAATTGACTCAGAAAGACATAACAACAACCATACAACATTTTCTTGTGGTGTTGTCATGCTTGCTTGCTTGCTTTTTTTTTTTTTTTAATTTTCCACATCCAGGTTACACTGATACTGTTGCTTATCAACTGTAGCTTACCATTACGCCATGTCCAACCGGCCAGGAGCTTCTTTACCATGATCTCCAATCAAACAAGCAAGGCATTGACGGAAAGAAAAATATGGATTACAGTTATGGCCCATCATTACGAGTTTTGAATATCAAACTTTAGATTATCGCAACACCCAAATCTGTTAATTCCACGTCGTATTCTCATTCCGCAATTTGGATGACAATGGCTATTGGATTGTTCAACGTTACTCCAAAACCCTTATATTTGCAACGATGAATAGTTTTTGGATACATTGACGTGCGTCTCAAGAGTAAGATGGCATTTATTCAAAAAGCCTTCTCGAAAGTTTTCACCAAGTCACTATCAGGTTGTCATGCCATCGATCAATTGATCGATGATAGTAAAGAAGCATCATCGACAACACAACTTCACTGGATCGAAGAGTCAGAGTTCATAATAACCCAGACGTCTAAAAACGACGTCCTATACACAACACGTAATGTGAATGACAATAAAGTCACAGAAGCCTTGCTTCCGCTTGGGCCGCAAGAGAAACTGACGCCAGAGTTTATGGCCGCATTCTCCAAAATCCATTCGATACCAACATCCAAATATATAAATCCGCCCAACGTCAACAAATTCCGTCGGTATCCATCGTTGCTAAAAAATCGCAATAAATGGATAACGGGATTTACAAAACACGAGAACATATATTACTTAGTAGCTCACAAGTCCTTTTGGGTCTACGGTTACTGCGCCGTATGTAAGATACTCAGGTGTAGCGCAGTATGGTGTATTTGTGGCCAGAAAGAGTTGAGAGGAACGGCTGCAACCGACAAGAGACTTGACAAGTTTGTCAAGAAATCTCAAAAACAAACAAAGTCGGCAAATGAGGCCTACCTGGAATGGATTCCATTCACGTGGATAGAGTTTGGTAACGGAGAGACCGATGGATCGTTATATGCTGATGCAGTTTTTCACGGGAGGGTGGAACTGATTCCATTCGACGTACCAGACAAAGATAGCTTATTTTATTACAAGGTGAGATATGAAGACGTGTGTGTGTTGTGTGGGATAGTCATACGTGGCCACGCGTTTATTAATCGATTAATTAATTTATGATAGTTGTGTGTCGACCATCCGGACATACTAAACACAAACGTTTGGACCACTATTGGGTTCACATCTGATCCCAAACAAAAAAAGTATTATATAATAAAAACGCCACATAACAATGAACTATATTACAGACTATGCAAAGGATGTGTAAAAGACCTGCGTGTCCGTATTAGCACATACTGTTGTCGATGTCACGAAGAGAAATCTCCGAATGAGATGTCTCCGGACCTTGTCGTTAAACCCGGCAAGACAAACTCTGCAGATCAGCAAGAGACAGAATTTACTCATCTGGAGGATATATCGCTTGATGAAGATTCACGTACGGCGGATCAAGCGGAGGCGAATGGAGCTGAAGTATGTCGATAAAAGCTGGTGTGTTTAAGAAAGTCCTTATTTAATTCATCAGAATATTAATCAACTTTGGGGCATTTTTAGGTCAGCAATGATTCGAAAGTGGCCGGAAGCCGCAGTAAGAGCGATATCCCGGACATAACCTTTACTCCGGTGGCTTCAAGTTATGATAATTCGTCTAAATCTACGGATAACGTGTCTTCAGATACGCATAGTGGAAGTCAGCGAAAGTCTCCATCAGCTTCAAATACCGATAGTCGGAGTGCGACAAACAGCCAATCAATTCCAGTTAGTTGGAAATCTACACAAAAGTCGGCTCCAGACGCTGATGGTTGGAACTCGACAAGTATTCGATCGGCTTTGGACGTTGGCGGTTGGAGTCCCCCAAATTGGACAATCGATGACACTGCGAATTGGACCCCTCCAGACTGGTCGACTTCAGATACTGGTGATGGTCACGGTCCAGCGAATCGATCAGCTCCAAACGTTGATAATTGGGGTGCACCGGATTCGGGTAGTCGGCATCGGCCAAATTTTGGTTGGAGTTCTACCTCCAGACCTTATGAACGTAAAAATAATACATGGACGGATAATGTTATGAGCGAAGATTGGGGGGGTGAGATATCCTAAACTGCTGCGAATATGTAATCGTTCTGATGAAAAAATTACTGATCGATGTGAGTTTCATCGCTTTTTAGACAAACGTTCCAGCAATAATATACCACGGGATGATCATCGGTATGGATACTACGTGTCCTTTACTAGCATTTATTTGACTTGTTTTCTAATATGCCCCTTTTAAACTTTCTTAGCAAAAAGGGTGAGAAAGAGTCTTCCGTACGGATATGGTGGGTAACGTTGGCACATTAGTATGACCCATTATCTTATGAAACGAAAGTCAATTTGACTAACTCTAACGTTTATTAGCTATTTGTGTAAGAAGCCCGGGCATGTGTCTAAAGACTGTCCTGATAAAGTTTGGTAAGATCAAAATAAAACACTGTTAAAAATACTTTATGATTGACAAGAAGTGCGTTCGCTTACTCGTGCTCTATTACTTATCAGTCACAATTGTTCAAAGCCCGGACACACAGCAAAAGACTGCCCTAATAAGACAAACGAAGTGATATGGTAAGAACTCTTGGACCAAAATCGAAACAATTCTCGTCATATGATACTCGTAAAAATGCTTCATGATTTAATAAGATGTGTTCGCTCACTCGTGCTCTATTGCTTTTCAGTCATAATTGTTCAAAGCCCGGACACACAATAAAAGACTGTCCGACAAAAATATGGTGCGCACATATACAAAATACAGTAGCAATACCGTGTTTGTTTGGTTTTTTATTATATAATCACATTAACACCAGCTTATTTCTATTTGTGATTCATTAGCAATTATTGCAAAAAGCCGGGTCATCTTATTAGAGAGTGCCAATCACGAAACAGGAATAAAAACGGCTTTAGACCTACCCCGGAACAACATAGTGGAGATTTTGACAATGATCGTTCTCGTTCACATCAACGAGAATCGGATAAAGCCCAAAAAAGCAGATCATCATCAGTTTCATCCCAGGCATCGTATCGTCAGTTTGGATGGCAAATTCCGATAAAAGAGTCGTCTTCGAATGAAAAGAATGTCGCAAGCGATAAGCAGAACAACGCGGCGAACAAACAGGGTTCCAAGCGTCGCAAGGCACGACCATCGAACGCGAATCAAGAAGGCGAAAGAAATGACGATGAGAACAACGACAACAAAAATTATAAAGACCTGATGATGGCCTTTCAAGAGATCCAGAAAGGCATGAAAAATAAAGGTACAAGCAACGCTTGCAGTGACAGTGAGAGTGGAAACGGAAAAGATGCCAAGTCGAATGCTGACGAAGAAGAAGAGGATACCGGCGTGCAGCCAGTGATGGAAAGTTATGTTAGGTGGAGAAACACGGAAGCCGAAGAAGTGCTGACTTTGATGAAAGTGATTTCTGAAAATCAGCAAACTGAAGGAGACGGCGAGAAAAGTGACGATGAGAATAAAGAGAGTAAGGTGATTAAAGACGATGATGGTTGGATCCCTCCAGAAGAATATGAGTGGTAGATTATTATCAGAGGCTCAATTGATTTTTAAGTATTACTTAATTTGTAAACTTCACATATCGATATGTATAAATTATCATCAGTCTTGCAGATTTGTATAGTTGAATTATCAGATTTTTTAGCATTGATATTCTTTCCGAAGAATATCATATGATTGTGCTATTAAAATATTTATATTACAGTTATTATGAATCGAGGTGTGAGGTGACTTGTTTGGTTGTTGTGATGCTTACTGTTTGCAGGTCCCACGAATTTACGTGGGTGATTCAAAAAAGTTCTTGCCGCCATTCTACAGGTTGATAAAATGAAAATGACTTCATGGTTATTAGCATACATATCCCCAAATCCTATATGCGAAATATTGATTGCCAAAAAAAACTATCCATTACTATATTCGAATATGAAATACCGCGCACCTAGATGCGTAAATCTACTCAGAAAGATAAATACAAATCGAGTCTTATGTGAATATATGTGATGCATTTCAGGTGATCGTTTGTTTTATTATATAATCCACATGATGTTAAGTCGTTGTACACTCACTGGACAAAAGTCTACGTAATTTTTGTCGATCACATAGTAAAACATATGAAAAATCTATTTTTTC